GGATTATACTGGGGCTGCTGCTGTTGCTGCTGCTGCTGCTGTTGCTGCTGTTGCTGCTGTTGCTGCTGTTGCTGCTGCTGCTGCTGTTGCTGTGTCTATGCTGCAGCAATTTATCTCCTTAATTATTATACATAAAAATGATGATTTATAAAGAAATAAAAAGCATATAATAAATATTCCTGCTGTACATACACCCCAACACTATATACGGCAGCATCGAGACTGCTGCTGCTGCTGCTGCTGCTGCTGCTGCTGCTGCTGCAGCAGCGTGGTTGCTGCTGTCGGGGGTCGGTGGCTACGGATAATATCTTCTTATTTGTTTATATATTATGAATAAAATAAGAATATTTTTATTTATTTATTTTATTTTATTTATTTTCTTTTCTTTTTATTATTAATATACAATAAAATACCATTTATTTGCTGTTTTCTTCTGCTGCTGCTGCAGCTGCAGCAGCAGCAGGCACACACACACACACACCCAGTCGGCAGCAGCAACAGAGCTGTCTATACACCCCGAGACCATCAAACAAAACGCAGCAGCAACAGCATTTTTCTTAATTAAATTAATTCTTTTATTTATATAAAATATAATTATAATAATAGAAGAAAAAGAAGAAGAAAAAAAGAAGAAAAAAGAAGAAAAAAAGAATAAAAAATATAAAAATAAAAAAGGAGGAATTGGGGTGTACGTACACCTCGGTGTGACAATAGACCGTTGGCGCATCTCCTTATCAATAAATAAATAAATAAATAAATAAATAAATAAATAAAATAAGTAAATAAAATAAATAAATAAAAAGAAAAATAATTTAATTTTATTAATATTTATTTATTAATTAAATTAATAAAAGTTTTTCTTTTTTTTTCTTCTTTTTTCTCCTTTTTTCTTTATTTCTTGAATAAAATATAATAATATAATAAAAGGGAATAAATAACCCTAATAAAAGGGGAAATAATAAATAAAATAATTAATAAATAAAATAATTAATAAATAAAATAATTAATAAATAAAATAATTACTAATTACCCCTATTTTTCTTTTTTTATATATGTATACGTATATACAAAAAATATATGTATATGTATATATATATTATACGTATACGTAATGTATATATTATATATTAGTTATAGATAATAAATATTATAATACGCATATATATA